GAGAATGGGAACCGTAGGTGAACGTGAGTGTGGTTGAGTCACTGCGGGTGGTCATGTGGACAGCGTGGGTTGGCGGAATTTTATCTGATCCACTGATCAGGCCTGCAGTTCTGCCTTGAAGGGGCAGGGGGAGGAGGCTGGCTGATTACCGGAGAACGATCTAAACCAGGTGTCAGCAGCCTGGCCACATGCTGTTCTGTCTCCGGCACCCCTGGGGCAGATCAGATTAGCACAGCTGGCCAGGTATCGATTCCAGATGACCGTGGCCTTCCAGATCCTCTACGCAGAACGAGACGGACAACCCTATCCCCACCCCGTTTTACCAATCTAAAACAGAGGTGCCCTGCCCACCCCAGACCGGAGACCGTGTGTTCAGGCGTGAGCTCTGAATCAACACCGAGGAATCCCGAGCTCGTTCGCCCCCAGGAGCACCTCCCACAGATTCCTTGGCCATCCCGAAGCTCAGTCTCCCCCCTCCCCTTCCCTCGGAGAAATGCTTGGAATTTGCCCAGAAAGCCAGCTGCTCCAGAAGCCACAGGGCCGGGCCCCATCCAGGCGACGCCCCCTCTCGCCCCCGACCTCCCTCCCAGAGAAGAGCCCGTCCCCGGCGTCGCACCAGGAACGCGGATCTCCCTTCCTCCCGAAGCCGAGACGGCTGGGGCAGCCCTTCAGAGAGCCATTTTTTTTTCCTGCCATTTTTGACTTGCACCTCGGTAGGAATGGGAGTGAAATCTACACTCCTCACTCCTACACTCCTCTGCTAAAGATCCTCAAAATCCGTCCGACGGCGGATCCCGTCAGCCCTGCGATAGGCGGGACGAAAGGGGGAAAAGGGGGAAGTCAAAGCATCGAGAAAAAGCTCGGAACGTTCCGAGGAACCTCGAATCAGGCACAGCCCCTTCGTCTCTTAGCGTTTTTTACAGAGCAAGCTCTTTGGAAGCTCACAGCTACAAAGCAAAACAATCAAGCAAGCAGCAGCGATGGCTGGACCTACAGAACACCCCCAGTCTGGCAATGAAGAGCGGGGGGCCCCTCGGGACCCCCCCAGTTTGGCATTTACCTCGTCCTGGTTGCTCTCCACTTTGGGGTTGCTGGCCGTCCGCTTGAGGTTGCTGCTGAGGCTGATGCCCACCATGGCGTCCGACTTGGAGCGCTGGTGGGTGCGCTTGGAGGGCGAGAGGCAGGGCTCCGCGTGGGGCCCCGCGGAGGAGGAGGAGGCGGAGGAGGAAGAGGAGGAGGAGGAGGCCGGGGCGGGGCAGCCGGGCGGCTCGCGGCGGCGCTGGGCGGGCTTCAGCTCGTCCGAGAGGATGACCTTGCGCAGCTTGGTGCCCCGCGAGTGGCGCTGCGTGGAGATGTGCATGTCCGAGGAGTAGGCGCCCAGCAGCCAGGCGCACTGCAGGGAGAAGTTGATGCTCTGGCGGCAGCGGTGGACCACGTAGGGCTTGATGGCGTCGCCCACGTCCTCGTCCATGTGGATGTACATGTTGAGCAGCTGGGGCAGGTAGAAGTCCACCTCCTCGTTGCGGAAGCTGAAGAGGCGGTTGCCGATGTAGGCCTGCACGCCGGGCTCCTTGGAGTTGTACAGGTAGGAGATGGCCATGGAGATGTCGAAGAGCTTGGACTCGAAGAGCCGCAGCAGCCAGGACTGCTTGGACGAGTTGTTCTTCTGCCTCCGCCGGGCGCTCTTCACCGTCCCCGGCTGGGGCTCCTCTCCCTCCTCCCGGA